GCTTACAATTCATAGTTTTCGTTTGAATCACCGTTCGTTTAAGTAATTGACTTATGTCAACTGGATTTCGATCAGGATTTGCATAAATAAAAAGAAATGGTTGAAGATGAAAATCAATACATTTTCTTGTAACAGCATTCCAATCATTTAATACAATAATATTTCCATCAAAACAAAATAACCATTTTAATGTTGTATGATCATAAGAAAAAAATACTTCAATATTACCACCATAAAAACATATAAGACCAATTAAATTAAGTTGTTTAATACGAGCATCATTTATAGTCACGTCATAAAATAACTAAAAGAAAATTATGATTAATTCAAAACAAAACTTTGTATTTTATTTACTTCATGTAAATTAATAAATGGATTAATAATTGAAATAAAATCTTCTACATCACTTGTTGTACAATGAGATAAAGTCCAATCAATAGCAATAGAAACTATAAATTCGAATAAAAATAAAAATTAAAAAATAAAAATAAATTTAATTGACTATCATACTTAAATCTGGAACATTCGTTAATAATAAAACATTTCGTTGTTGATGTCCACAATTCTTTATTGAACATATTTGTCGATCTAATTCAAATTGACTTGTTGATGCAAGATAAAGAAGTTGTGCAAATGTTTTGGATAAACGTTTTGTTTCAATTTGTTTTACTAGTTGACTACGAAAAACAAAGCACAAAAAAAAAAAGAAGATTTTTCATCATTACTATTTTAAATCTTAACATATACTTACCATAAAATAGTTGCATCAACTTGATAAACTGCTCGAGTAAATATCATTGTATTATCAATATTTTGTTGCTGTTGAGAACGGCAGTTAACATTGCTACATCGACGCTATATTTATATAAATATAAAATTAGTAAATAAATTTAATACAAAAGAGAATACACATACCACTTGTACAAGATTCATTAGATGAACATTATTTTAATAGAACAAAAAAAGAAAAAACAAGATCTAGAATACGATGAAGAATAATCATTTCTTTCCTTCTTTTTTTTTTTTTTTTTTTTTATCAAATCTTAATACTGACTACTACCACTAAATCAACATACATACATACATACAAACGGATATATCACCCTAGCATTTAATCGAAGAAGAGAACGATTCATCCATAGGCAAAGGTTAACATCGGTTGACCGTCAATGCTCAACGATTTTTTTTTCTTCTTCTCTGTGTTCTTACCTTCGGACTAACGTGGTGCATTCAATGCAGGTATGTGGACAAGAATGTGTATGTAGAAAAAGACAGAAGAAAAAAAAAATTATTGAACACAAGCCAAGAAAAATGCGACTATAACAAGAGAAAGTATATGTCACTCACTCTCTCTGTCGATCAAATATATTGAATACATATACAATGTGAACGACGGATATTGTTCAGGTGCACATATGCATATATATACTCACTTTCCTTTTTCCGTTTTTATTATTAATGTGGTTCAAAGAGAAAGGTGTAAATTATACGCATGAAGAAATCGAAACGAAATAATGATTCAGCAGCTTCTATGTACATTGAATATCAAAGCGAAGATTTTCTTTTTTTTTAAATAACAAATACTTGAGATTCACATGGAATCACTTCTTACTAATTTTATTTACGAGTATGATTTAATTATTACAAAAAAATTTTCTCACCTGCTGGTTGAAGTGTTAATTTTCGAATGTATTTTGGATGAGCTAAAACTCAAATTTTATCATGATGAACTATGTGTTAAAGTATCCTTCAGTTGAAATTCTCGCCTACTTATTGACATTTAACTAACTACGTGTCACCTCGAACAAGGATACTTAGAAGAAAAAGTTCAATTATTTTTTTTTGTTTTATTATTATTATTAAGACAAAGGAAAATAAAAGTGCAAAACGGCTGAAGAAATATTTATACAATCATAAAAACTAACATACATATGTCAAGATTGATATCATTTCTACAACAGGAGTTGCCATCAATAACAATGAATAAAGAGATTTGATAAAGTAATATTATATAATAATAACATAATAATAATAATCATTTATTATGAATAGGGGTGGGATCTGACTGTCTATCGATAGAAATATGTGTTTTTTTTTATTTCTTTTGAACTTGTAAATACACTTATGTACGCAATTTTAGATGAGAGAAAAATGAAAACGAGTCAGTAGAGATTTATTGAGGATAATGAAAACGACTATGATATCTTGTATTGAATGAACAATTTTCAATTGAATATTCATCTGCTTCAATAGAGTATATACGAATGTGAAGCCTCGTCACGCACGTTCACAGTCACATTAATACAATACAAAAAAAAGAAGAAAAAGAAATTGTCAAGAGGCTAATCCAAGCTTGCACGCTTAGCTCGGATTTCTCTTTCTTTTTTATATGTATTTGTGTAGAAGAATAATTTCAAGGATATGAAACACCATTGTGTAACACATTCGTTGATTAACAAACAATGTGTATATATAAAAGTGGATAAATCTTTTGAGAATGAGACAAAAAAAGAAAAGGTGAAAGTTGAACAATGTGTATATAAAAACCTAATGACCTCTGTTCATCCATTATCTTTATGTTCATTGGAACATGTGTATTAATGAAATTGAATATGATAAGATGTCTATATAAAATAGAAGCATCAATAAATATATATATATGTATGCATAAGAAAAAGCTATTCAATGTATTGATAGAATTAACTGAAATTGTACAAAGTTAAATGATGATGATAAATGACTGATACACAATAGAGTTCTTTTTGATTTGATTATATGAAGATATCATGAGCTATATACTATCGAATGAACTGTCGAGATTTTTTTAAATGTTGTGTCTAGAAGAGTTCATTAATGAAAAAAAAAACAAGTATAATATTAACAATGATGATTTGATTTTATATACGTGCATATGAACAATTGATTGTTCATTTCAATAGACATTCTTAATATTTAATGTTTGATTCTAATCTGAATACTTAAAAAAAAAAAAGATGTTTTTACATTCTTTTCTGTATAACTTTGTTCAATCAATTTGTTATTCCCATCATAATAAGTCACACATATATACTATTGATTTTAATACTGGAAAAAAAAGCAGAAAATTGTTATGTCACGTTATCTTTTGATCCAGTTTGTTTACATATTGATTTATGATCTTTATTTAGAAAAGAAAAACAGTTCGATGAATTTTTAACGACAATTTGACAATGTGACAGATAAACTATTTTCAAAAGAATAAATCCTCTTAAAAAGAAGACAAATTTCTTTTTTTTTTCCATAAATAAAGAGTTTAAGATAAAATTTATAACAATGTGTAATATTGTAATGAAATTCTTTACGAACATTCAAAATAAAACATGTGCTTATTCATGTATGCTTAAATAAGAGTATACTTTAGTTGATAGACAAAAGAAAAATTCTATAGATAAATGTTGACAATTGAAATAGTAGTTCAAGTAGATGGAAACAAGATTGAATTTAATTTCCTTTTTGTCAAATGAAGAACACTTTTGTTTTTTTCAATTTTCAAATCTTAGAATAAAAGTCCAGTCAATAATTTGATAAATTATATTCTATATAATACAATAATCATATAATAATTATTGAACATACAACTATTTTTTTCTAGTAATATAATTGATAGAGATGCATTTGGTATAATTTGTTATTCATATATAATATGCCATACATTGATCTATTCAATATGTAGAACAACAAATGGCATAATCATTATTATGATAACTATGCTATTTATGTTTTAGATGATTGACAAAGTGTTTCAGTTGGATAATAAAATAGATTTTCTAAAATAAGATAAAAATTATCAAATAATCTAAAATAAGTATTGTCATGTGTGTTGTTTTTAGATAAGCAATATTTTTCTGTTTGTAGATTTATCTTTGATATTGATCTGTTAACTTATCTAAAATTAAATAATTAAGATAGAATTTTCTTGTATTTTTCTGCTAAAATATTTTTAATAGATGGTTTCATAATCAACATTTCAACTGACTTTTTTTTTCTTTAAAATAAAAGATAATATTGAATAATATCAAACATAGAATGTAACATAATTTTTTTATTGAGACACATTTACAAAAGAGAAAAAAGAAACCGATTTTTTCATTTCTCATACGTTAAAATGTCAACATGTAATAGTATACCTATATAAATAGGATGTGTACTCATTTCCGTTTTGTAATAGTTGATTATTGATATCTGAACAATTGTTCGGTAACAAAATGTTGTCATTGTCAATCTCATATTATGTTATCAACTGTTCTCATAATGATTATAATAACTGATGCAAACAAAAACAGATCAATGATTAATCTTGTTTAATGTCCTGTAATCGAATCAGTTCGGATCCAGGCATAGGATCATATCCGGATCTAACCTGATAATTAACAATTTTGTTTCAAATAAAAATTCATCTACAGATGATGATGATGATCCATATGATAAAGTAATTGAATATATGAAAAGCAAAGTAAATTATTAAAAAGGTAAAACTATACTATCGTGATGGAAATAACATTCATATATATATATATTTACAATTATCATGTTTAGCACCAACATTACTTTTCATCCGAGTATGATCAGTAACAAGCAAGTGTATATTCAGCGAAACTAAAACAATTCACAATAGTAGTATATTTTATTATATGAGAAACAAAAATTTGAATAATATATATGACTGCGAAAATACTTTGCTAAGCATTGATTACTTTCAGTCTGAGTAAGAATATGAAAAGTTTTATTCGTGCAGAACATTACATGTATTAATTATCAAATATTTATTAAACAAAATCAACTATTTTGTTCGGTTCATACCGAATGTATATTATATTATCATTATCAAAGACCAAAAAAAAAAGAAAAAAAAATCCCGTCTATACACAAAATAACTGCACAAACTTAATTAAAGGAAATTACATTGTTGAAATAATAAACAAACAATAACAAAAGCAAAAAGAAAAAGAAAACAGAAGAAATTATGATTGTCGATAACATGTTCGTACCCACTGTTGATCATCATGTTGTATACGTACAATAATTTCACGTAATTCAGTGTATGTACGATCAAGATCATTATTAATTATAATATAATCAAATAATAAATAATGATGTCGTTCAATTGAACGACTTTGTCTTATTATTTCACGATAATCATTATCAGTTAAATGATCACGACGATCAATTTCTAAACGTTTTAAACGTTCAAATGATGGTGCTGCAATACAAATTATATATGGATAAAGATCTGTTTTATCAAATGTTCGTATTGCATCTGGATTTAAATTTAATATACAAATTTTTCTTTTTCGACAAACAATATGTCGAATATCTTCAATTGATGTTCCATATAAATCACGATCATATTGACCAAATTCAACAAATGAATGACATGCTACTTTTGATAAAAAATCAGCATCTGATACAAAATGATAATCAATATCAGCAATTTCATGTTGACGACGAGCACGTGTTGTATGTGGAATTGCAACATCGAATAAATTTGGTTCTGTTTGAAGAAGACGACGACGTAATTCATGTCGACCAACATTGGGAGCACCTTAAAGAAAAACAAAAGCGTACAGTTCTTCTTTTTTTTTCTTTAGCATTTTTTTGCTATTATATAAAAGCAATTTTAATAAACAAGCGAAGACTTCTATATAAGCTAGAAATCACTAAGAAAAAAATATAAGTTTTCACAATAGATTTTGTTTTTTTCAAAAGATGATCATTATGACAAAAATCTATGAATTATTTCATTCTCACCTAATAAAACAATTGGTCGTGTCATTTGTTGTCTTGTTATATCTAGACGAAAGACAGGATCATAAAAACGAAATGTATTAATCATTAATGAATCTATTATTATATCTTTATTGGGATCTAAAATAGTAGTCATCGTTTGTGATGATGGTTGTACTTCATCAAATTGTCTTGTATCAGTTAATGAAAAATGATTTGTTGATGTTCGAATATTTGTTGTATCTGTATCATCAATATCACGTATAAATGTTGCATTATTATAAACAGAATGTAAATTATATTTTTCTTTTTTTGATACACAAGTTAAACAAGATTTCTTTTTTTTCTTTTTATTTTTTTTCAAATATTTTATTGATGTTGATATTGATGTTGATGATGATGATGATATTGATTCAGTTTCATCATTAAGTGCTTTTATTAAAGCTAAACGTTTTTGTTGTAAATGATCTGATGGTATAAGACCTGCTAAACTTGGATCTGTATCTGTTTCAGTTGAATTTTCACGATATGCTTGCCACCAACTAACATATGAATCATTTATTTTAATATAATTTTCATCACGTGCAACAATACGTAAAATATCACCACGTTGAAACATTAAACCAAGTTCTTTACATGGTAATAATGGATCATTATATGGATCATATGCATATAATGCACGAACATAAAATGTTTGATATGATATATTATTATTATGATTATTATGAATTATATGTGAAATTAATGGTGGTGCAAGAAGAAATTTAATTAAACCTGTTGTATTTAACATTAATGAACAAACATAATCAAGTGAATGACCTGTTATTGGTTCATCATTAATTTCAAGTATACGATCATTTATTTGAAAAAGTTGTGTATTTGCTGCAATACCACCAACAATAATTCGAGCTATATGTATTGTACCAGAATCAGAACGTGTTATTGTTAAACCTAATGGTTCATGAGTTTTTTCAATTTTAACTATTTTTAATTCATCAATTGCATATTGTGATAATTTTAATAATTCTTCTGTTGTTTCAGAATGATTTAAATTATTTGAAATATTTTCATTATTAATATTATTTACTATTTCGTGATTTTCTGGTAATGCTGATGGATAAAGACGTAATTTAAGAACATTATCAAATACATTTAAAAAACTTTGCATTTCTGTACGACGTAATAATGTTAAACATGTTTTAAGATCATTGAGCATATCAAATAAAGATGGTGATGATGCTCTTATTGTACTAGAAGAGGAAAAAAAAAACATTTTATATCATATTTTTTTTTTATTATATTCTTTAATTATACTGAGTCGCATGGTTGCGAAATAGAAGTGGTCGAGTCTGAAATTCTAGACCTGACGAACTCTATTGTTCAGTGAACAGAGAAGAAAAAAGTACATCATATAGAGTTAACAGAAGAGAGTGAGTACATGAAAAACAAAAAGCAAATAAAGAATGATAAAATAATCGAAAATGAAACCAAAGCTTAAAAATATGAACATACCGTTTACCAAAGAATCTAATCTAACATAAATTCAAATGATATCCATCGCACTAAGAGTTGTCATAGGTACATAGCTTTTAAGAGAGCTGATGAGTTAAACTTAACATATCTGAACTAGAGATGTGTAGGACCAAAAGTTGGAAGTTTATGAGAAAGACAAATTAGAAAAAACTTATCCCAACCGGAAATAAAGAGTATAGTTAAATATTCTACGGTTTTAAGCGAATTATCTTATCAATCAGAACATAATTTAAGAGATATGATCCAAAAAAGTGCTAATTATCAATTAAATTAAAACAAGAAAAGTGAATATTGAAAAATTATTCTAGATTTGATACGAATGAATTCCGAAATAGTTTACAAAGAATTTCCTGTTGAGAATTTAGTAATAATAAAATTCTAAAAAACATACTCTGCATCAAACATTGTATATTCAGCATCAATTAATTTTTTTTCAATAAGTTGAATAAATTCTTCAATCATTTGTTTAAAATCTCGTTGACCATTATCACCATTAATCATTATTTCATGAAATAAATCCATTGAACCATCATTTACATGTGTTAAAATAGGTAATAAATGAAGACTTTGTTGAAATGAACCTTGTTGTGCTATTTCACGTAAACGACCAATATCTTCTTTAATATTTTCATCTTCCATTTTACATAATATTTGTGCACGATCTAATGTTGTATATATATCATCAATTGATATTGTTAATATAGGTGATGATGTATAATTATGAACAGTTGTTGATAAACTACTACTATCACTTGTTGATCCTTTACGTATTAAATCATTAGTAAGTTTTGTTTTTTTTTCAATACCACCACGATGTGTTGATAATGTACAATAAGCTTCATCTGATGTTTGTTCATCGGGCGATGATCGACTTCGATAACTACAACTACCGCGACGACTACTTTGACGAAGTAAAGAGCCTCGTTCAAATGTAGTAGTTTGTTGTTTATTCTAGGAATGACATACATACATACATACATACATTAAAAAAAAGTTTTCGTATTGACATTAAAGTAAATGAGAAGAATTTAGCTTTTCTTTTTCTTTCTCTGTTTTTTTTTAATGAAATAAAGCCTTGAATCTACTAATCGAATAAACAAAGAATGTTGATTGAAAATGTAAAGGATATTATTATTATAACTTACGGATGGTTTAAGTCGAAGTAATTCAATGCATTCAACTTTTGATGCAACGATGTGATGATCAACACAATCTTCTTTAATTGAAGATTGTATATCAAATTCAGCTGGAACATCAACTAAATTAGATAAAGATTTTGTTTTTTCTTTTTTAAAAATATTTGTTCATTTTTTTTTTTTTTTGTGAATATACCTGCTCGTTCTCCACCAAGCCATTGAATAATTCGTGTTGTTTGATGATGATCTTCTTGTTTTATTCTATTAGTATCATCACTACAACTAACATTACTACGATTACCATTAATTTTATCGACAATAGCTACCATTTGTTTGTTCGCGTTTTTTTTTAGTCAAATGTTCATTTTGATATAAATTTAACTTGTAATTCTACATCAAAGATTAAGGTTAAATTTATTTTCTCACATAATGATCTAAAGAAGCGTGCTTATATAGACTCCTATGATTAAACAAAGAATATGCTAAGACAAGGTTAAATATAAGATATTATATTTCTTTTTTAATGTCACACAATAAATAATGATTTTATACATCACATAAAAGGGAAATTTTCATTCATATATGTATATATACATCTATGCACATTTGCTACTGTTTATTCATGTGAAAAAAAAATTATGTGTGAGATAAGGTTCATAAAAAAAAAATTAGATAGACGACGACAACGACAACATGGACAATATCAGTTGATTTAAGCTTGAAGTAAATAATAGTGTTAGCTTTCAATAATTGAACTAATGTCGTCTGTCTTGTCGCGATTAATCCCACACACATCGGTCACTAACGTCTGGTTTGAATATAGATGTATATCAACCTGAACTACATCAATTATTGTTGCTTACCTTGACCAAGAAGAGAGAAATTGTCAACCTTTTTTTTTTCTTTCGTTTTTCCTCTTATGAAACGACTGAACATTAGACGATCGAATGAATCAGAATACAAAAGAAAGAAGAAAAAAAAAACAAGAGAATGTCATTCGTCCCACCGTTGTCGTCGACGTCTTTATTTTCGTTAGATATATATATATGTATATATTTTCCTTACCTTTTCTTAACGATATCCACCATGTTGCATGCACATATATGAAGGAATACGAAAAACAAAGCACAAAGAATTATTTTTCCTTCTTTCGATCAAATCCACTGTGAATATAAATGTTTGGAGTGTAAGCGTATCCCTCTGGTATGAAGGAGAAAAAGAAAAATGACCGACAAAAGACTCTTAAGTGCAGCATTGAGTATATATACATAGACATAAAGAAACAAAGACAAATAATAATATTCATCATCGAGTCGATCAAGGTTAAGAAATTATTGATATTGATACTTGAGAATTTTATTAACGAGAAGCATACAGTGTTCAAATTAGAAAGACCATTCTAGTGAAATGTTATATCACAAAAAAGATTTAATTAAATTCTCACTTAAATATCGAAAAAAAAAAAGAATTAGATATTTTCTTCTTGTGCAATATGATTTGTGTATTTTACATTGTTTTTTAACTTTTTGAGTTTACAACATTGTCATTATATATACATATAGGTAAATCTCTACGGTGAATAATAAGATTTTTTTCTATTGAAACGATATTACACAACATAGATTTTGTGTTCACATAATCGAAGATAAATCATGCATTTCTATATAATCGACTTAATAAATGGTATTTTTGTTGTTCATTGTGATTGAGCATCTATTCAATAATGAATGACAGAAGAGCTGTCAAAGTTCAATAACTTGAAGATTTTGTTTTGTTCTTCAAAGAAACTCATCATAAAAAAAACATAAAAGTTTACATGTTAAGTTACACATTGAATATTAAGTTATATTGAATTTCTTAATAGATAAGTGTAGCGCTTCAATTAACACCTTGACTGGGAAAATAAAGAAAAAAAAAACAATTTATTCTCAATAGCTATTAAATTTAACACAAGAAAAAAAAGTTGTCATTTTGAATATTTGAATAAATTTACATTGCTTCGAAAATTTTCATGAAATGAAAGTTTAACATGAAAAATATCAACAATACTGATTTTTAATATAAAAAAAAATTTCCTATCGACTAATAATAGAATATTGAAAATATTTTAAGAAAATTTTTCCAATGCGCATATCAATGTAAATAAAATAGTTCACAATAAGGAGATAACTAAAGCTATTTAGCTATGCCAGTTGGTTGTTATTATGCTATTGAAAGAAAGAAATGTTACTTTTCGTGGGGCATCAGCTGAATATTTAATAATCGTTTATCAATTAAAATACATTTTGGAAGTAGATCAAAGAAGGCGATAATGAATGTTTGAACATCCATAAAAAAAAGAAATTCATTTTGAGTTTATACATTTTTCTTTTGTTCAACAAAAATCAATTGTTTAGATCGCTAGACTAAATAAGAGAAAAGTTACAGTAGGCAGCTCTCTTGTTTTTAAGACTCTTTTCAAAAATCGATCATTGGATCAGGTATATTCAATTTTCAGCTCTATACCATGTCGTTTTCGAGAAATATTCAACAAACAAGGATCAAAAATAGCTCATTTGGCAACCTGAAATTCCCTATGGACGTCCATTCAATATACTTAATTTTTTGTTTGTTTGAAAGACTATGTCAAAATGTAGAGCATAACAGATCATTTTTTTTTGTATATTCTTACTTTTTAAGAGGAGAAAAGTATAATGTTTCGAAAAACTTTCAAAAAAATGGCGCTCTAATTATAAAAGTAGCAATACTTGATTCCAAAAAAAGGGACTCTGCCATGCCCTGCATCTGCACATATTTTTTCAGGCAAAAAAAAGTTAAACATATAGAATGATGGTTCACAGAGAATTCCGGGTTGTACGATGAAAAGAAAAGAAACATTTCTGAAAAACGCATATTTTTCAAGTGGAAAATGACGGAAACCATCAAAAAGTTTTGAACAAAAAAAACAAGATACCAAACTGACTTTTTCTAAGGAGAAGAGACTTAATTCGTTCTTTAATCAATCTATCGATATTTAAGATAGTTGGTCAGTAATAGCAGAAAATTCCCCGAAAATATGAAAATTATGATGATTGAATGTTGGAAATTAATTAATAGACAGACAATCATTCATTGTATCTTCTCTTTGAATTGATTTGGTGATTAGAAAGTAATTTTTTGCTTTTTCCTTGTCATTTTGATTGGTTTTTCTTTATTCGAAAATGATGAAATTGTAACTTGTAAACAAATCTCTAAATCTCGTTTCAATATATAAACTATATATCTTCATTGTTTCGCCTTCATGTTATACACTCTATGCTACTTCTTCGTTCTTCAACGAAAAAAATAATTAACAAGTATTAAACAAACGTACATAAAATTAATGTTCTTTGCTAGTTTTCATATCGTCTTCACGTACAGATAAGGCAAGTAGTAATAATCTAGCAAAAAAAAAAAATTTAGTATTTGATTAGAAAATATGTAGATTCCCGTTGGTTCTTCTATTTATATTCAATCCGTAAAAAATATACATCAATATCGGATCTAAACATCATTATGTCGAGAAATACGTAACGCCAGCGCATTACATAAGTTGTTCGATTGCTTTTTAGCTCGCATGTATGTCATTTATAAATGATTTTACCGAAGGCTTTGTACTATGTATAAAAGCCGTACTGCTCAGCATAGAAAATTTAGACCGCACGCCTCTGAACATTCTAAATAAGTAGACATAAAAATCACATTTATCTTTGACTAGTTCGGTTTGATAATAAATATCAATTACATAATTTAATATGAAACGAAAAAAAAAATTATGTGTGTCATATTTTACTAATTAGATTTTGCAAAAAAAGAACGATTTGCCTATTAAATATAGTACCTATCTTATAAAAGAATTGATATCATGCTGACTCTAATCCTATGTATGTGTACTAAAAGAGTAACAAAAGAAAAGCTTAATCTCTGGAAAAAGTTTGTGTTTTTTTTCGATTCACTATTGAATGTATCATTTGACAATCGCTGTATTGTCATGTTCGAAAAAAACAACAAAAAAGAAAATTAATCGCTTTAGTGAAATTATACAGAATCGAAATAATTATTACATCAGTTCTTTCATTAAAAAAAAGATACCATATATTCTGAATAAATCACTTTTGAAAAGATTTTATTAACAAAATGTAGCTTTGATTTTTCTTTTCCAATTCTTATGAATTTCAAATTCTTGTTTTTTTTAAAAGTATTCATCTGTAGGAAATAAATTACTTCAATAGATCGTCCAAAAAATGCTTTTCGAATCTCTGCATATACTACGGAACGGTAAGGTTACTACATTTTTGTATCCGGAAGTAAAACCAGTCATTCTATAAACAAAAAAGAATTACTGTTGGCTTACTCATAAACATAATACGATGGTGCATAAAGATGAATTAATTCCTCACAACATGTAGATCATTACATAACCTTAATTCTTTCATCAATGGAATAAATGAGCTAAGAAAGTGGTATATATACAGAGTGTAGACGCACATACATATGTTTTACAATTGTCGTTCATAATTGCATAATAAATCAATGAATAGAAGAAAGCAAATTATTAAAAGTCTGGAAACATCAGAAAATTTTATTTCTGAAAGTTTCATGTAAATTGTTGTTGTTGTTCTATTTTTCTGTAATATGAAAGATAATTAATGAGGTTATCATGTATATAAAAACTTTTCATTCTTTAGATTGCCAAACTGAAAAAGTAAAAAAAAACATGTTTGTAATGAAGAACTTGATAAACACTTGGCAATGGCAGAAAGTCATGCAGTCAGTCAGCAGCAAACTATCAAAATATTGTACATGAACATTCCAAAGTGTCTGCTAGGTTTTCAACCGAGACATAGACTTCGGTGAACTCTGCTTACCATAAAAAAGAGTTCGTGTTCATCACTTGTGTCTGAGAATAGCAAACGTTAGTTTTGATAAAAAATTTCAAAATTTTCGAACTAAGCATCTCGGAGATATGGAAGGCTCTTTTCCATAGATAGTATCTACGGCGCGTATTTTTTGAAAGGTTCATATCTCGAAGAGATTTACGAGGAAAGACCTCAAACTGTCCAATCGCTGTTGACTCTACAACTATGGCAATAGTGTATTTTGTCACATCACTCATATAAATCAGCAGATTTTGATATTCTTACTTCAGGATAGAAGCAAAATCAAAAGGCCTGAAACTATCACAATAAATTACTCTCGTCAAGGCCTGCCTCTATGCAAAGTTTCAATTAAAAATTCAGAAATCAGCTTTTCCCGGTGCTCCTGAGGGGAACCACGGCATTTATTAACAAAAAATAACGTTAAAGTGTAG